AGGTTAATAACGAGAAGATCCATCGCTTAAAAGTAACAGCGAAGCTCTAATTTCTGCTCCTTTTATGAATCTTGTACTTGTCGAGCATGATCAGACCCAAGCTCGAACCTGGGAAATAAACGCTGTTGACATAATGCTGTCGCATGCTCCCCGATCTCTTGCCTGTCCTCCGCGGCAGTCCCTTTCCCATAGTCAAGAAGAAGAAGTCCTCTTCAATCTCTTCCATCTTCCTCTCCGCTTCGATATTCGTATTCTTCTGATGGGGAAGCGTTGTGGCGGTAGCATGCTTCTCAGGCCGCAAGTTCTGCCGCGGCCCCGTTGCTTGCTCGTCATCTCGGGGCAGAGGGCTAGGGGTTTCAACAGGGTGGGCAGTTCTTTTTACTTTCGAAGAGATGCGAATCGCCCGTCTTAGTGAACCGTCCGAGTTCTTGATCGGAGCACCAACGGGGGATGGAGAGTCCATCCTCGTGAAGGAACAGATTGAAGCATATGATGTTTTCAAGTGAATAGATTCAGCAATGGAGAGGTCTGCGGGAGGGTTATGAGATGAAAATGTCACCGGCCACTTCCATGGAAATTGCAGATGTTCTCTAGATGGTCGGTAAAAGAGACATTTGTTTGGATTATTTGTTTTTAGGAAACATGATGAAGAACAAATAGCGTGATTTATATTAGAAATTTAGAATAGATGGACATAGTCTTATTACGAGTTTTTTATAACAAGCCAAATTCGGTCATTAGGAATCCATTTAGAAACTAGATCTGTGACATTCCGAATTTCTGCCTATTTTTGAGATTTATAAAACGTGTAATTCGTCAATATGCTTATAGTAAAATATCGCCCGAGAACTGATCACTCCCGGTTATTGTTTTAAATTTGAGATTTCGCTAGAATCGCATTCGATCGAATTTTGCAGTTATTTAGAGCCCAAACTTTAGTGTCGAATTTCTCGGAGTTTCGGGACGAATTTAATTGGACGGTATCGATATTATTGTGGCCAACCTCGATATTGCCTGGGATATGTGAAAAGTGAATTTTTGATCGGATGCAAATTTGGACTAGTAGACCTCCCTCAAGGTAATTTGATTTAATTAATTTGACATTTGTCCCTTATTATATTCTAAGATTAATTTGGAGCGGTAAATTGCTTTCGATTTTAAATATAGGCCTTTGGATCACAATTATTATTTATATATTTATTTATTTTTCTCTCTCTCTTTCTCTCTCCGGTCACTTTCCCCCCTTCGCACATCTGTACCCCTGTCAGACCCATCCACTCCTCTCTCTCTCTCTCTCTCTCTCTCTCTCTCTCTCTCTCTCTCTCTCTCTCTCTCTCTCTCTCTCTCTCTCTTCCTTTTCTTTCTTTCTTCTTCTTTTCTTTTCTTCCTCTCTTCTTCTTCTTCTCCGTGGGTCTTTCCCGGCCCGCCGCCGCCGCGTGCCGCCGTTCGGCCGCCGCCGCTCCTTCTGCCCAGCTTTCCCCTCGATCCACCTCCACCGCCCAGTGCCCTTGGCCGCCACCGCCCCCTTTCCCCGCTTTTTCCTTCCTCCCCGACGTCTCCCCTATTTTTCTCTTCCCGGCGTCGCCTCGTCCGCCCATTGCTGCCGCGCCGCGCCGGCCGCCGCCGCCGCGCTCCGTCCGCCACCACCCCAAAGCAACCTTGCTCGGCCACTTGCAGTATACTCGCCATACTAGGGACACCCAACCGCCGTTGTCGTGGCCATCGCCCGAGCGTCCCGGCCGTGGCCGAGCTCACCTAGCCGCCGCCCAACCAGCCCGAGCTTGCCCGGGCCGTGGCGGACGCCCGGGCCGTGGCCGTGTGCCGAGCCGTGGCCGAGCCCCGCGCCCGTGCACCTCGTCGTTCTTGTTCACCCGGCCCGTTTTGAGCCCGTGCGAGTTTTTCCCGAGCCAAATCGAAGTAAGTGACCTCCTAATCCTTATTTAGGACTATGGGTATTTTTAGACTTATTTAGGACGTGATTAGTACCGGTTTAAGGACTACATGTGGATTATGGTCAATATTCGTATGTGTGTTTTTGTTAAATTAAATTGTGATAATTGTAGGGCTTAATTAGTGATTAATTATGGTGGGTTAAGTATCCGTATTGTCGTGGCGTGTGTGGGAAATTTACGTGTGATTATGGCCGGCTTGAAAGTCGGAATCGTGAGCTTGTGAATTGGAATTGGGATGATTGTGGGTGCATGTTTGTGGCTATTGTTGGTGGGTCAATGATTGGCTTATCGTGGCATTTGTAAGTGGAATTGATAGCTGAATGTGACCGACTTGAAGGTCGGGTTGGTGGAATATTGTGATGAGCATGCCTTGAGTTCAATTGGTACGACTTGTGAGAATGACGAATTGTGTGGTGATGCATGTGCATAAGAAAAGCCCGGATTGATCGGAGGGCTACCAACCTAAGGCATGGTTACGCGGGTGTGGCGAGAAAGGCATGACCGCACCGAGGCGTAGGTTACACGGTCATTGGAAGGGGAAAAATGTCCCGAGGCGTGGTTACGCGGGACCGAGCCCGGCTTGATCTAAGGGCCGAGCCTCGAGGCGCAAGTGGCGCGGGCCGTGAGATTGAGCCCGAGGCGCAGTGGGCGCGGCGAGTGTGAGAGGACCCGGGAGGTCGTGGAAAGTTGTTCGACCACGCATGCGAATTGAGTGTGATTGAATTGATTGAACTGATTGGACTGGTTGATTAAATGTGTGATTGAATTGGTTGGATTGATTGAGTGCCAGTGTGGTTGGCGTTTGATTGATTGTGATATGTTATTAAGTTAGTATTATTGTCTTGTCGCGTTTAACTAACGTGCAGAGCATGGGTTTGATGGCGAGGTAAGTACAATGACGTGAATTCTCTGTGTTGAGGGTTAGATTGCTTGTACGACTTGTCTGGGTACGCATTGGCCTACGTAGGGTTTAGGGTGTTGCTTATTGAGACTCGTTCTCACGGTTATTATATAACCACTTTCAGATCTGCGACCGTGATCGATTCGGAGATGCCGCCAGAGTACTACAAGGATTGAAGGATAGATCAAATTTACCCTGTCTTTTGAGTACCTTTTTGTAGAGGAGATAAGCTTGTCAACCACCGCCCCCTTTTGAAAAGCGTGATTTGAAATTAGTAGCCTAGGTTATCGTTCTGTAATAGTGACTACTTTATGATGTTTTGGAATTATTGTTTTGTGCTATCCTTTCGTCATCATATTAGTTGTCTGGGTTGTTTTATTTCGCTTCCGCTTGCATAGTTTGTTTGGGTTGGCGACGCGTCCTAGGACGTCGCGTTCAATTTGACCATGGACGGGATGTAGCGGGCTTGGTGGGGTCTGGGGCGTGACAAGATTACACTTATCTATGAACTTCAAGGGAAATAAATTGGTCTCGTTCTCTAAAAAAACTCCAACTTTGGGTTGTATCTCAATTCCGACCTGAATTGTTTTTTTATCTAAAACAAACTCTAACTTTTACTCCAATCCCAAATCTACTAATGCATTAAAAAATTGCCACTGATTTCTTAAAAATTCTCAACATCAGAGGTAGTCGGAGAACTTGCCTCTTCACCCTCACCTTCGTACATAACAACGCTAATTTTTGGATGGTGAGGGCAAATTTGAGAGTAAAGTGAAAGTTGATGATTTTTTTTACAAACAAAATATTTAGTGAAAAATTGGAATTCGACCTAAAGATGGAGATTTTTTAAGGAATTTAGTTCTATCTTTTTTGTAAATTAATATACACTAACCATCTGAGACCAATTAGATTCTATCATTTCGATGATCTTCACAAATAAACACTAGTAATTGGTATGTGGGACTTCAATAATCTTACGCCTAGCTACTCCTAATAGTTGTCCGAACCCTGGGTTACTAGCAAGGTAATTGGCTGAGTTGATTATAACTTAGCCCCTTAATGACAAGTTCGGATCCCCAATCACTTGAACTCTGATTTTGAAGTAACTTCAATCATGACTATGGATGATCACAATTATTTTTATAATGACACATCTGTGATACTTATTAATTTTTTGTTTTCCTTTTTTCTGAGAATAAAAATCACATATCTTATGGTAGCCCATTCTAATGTTATAGACATGAAATCATTTACTCACCAATAACTTATTAGAAATCTACTAGACCATCTACCCATCTATCTATATCTATTTCTACATCTACAAAAATATAAATAAGGTTAAGTGAATGATTTGTTCCATTGCATACATTCTTGACATTTTTCACTTTATTTCAAAAATAAATGGAAAAACCCAACCAGCTATAAATTGCCAAAAGTTGACAAAAAAAATTGGAGACAAATTAAAAAGGAATTATTCATTCAAAAGACTCAATTCGAAAATAGAAATATATCAATTCATGTTGGGACCAAACAGACATAAGAAAATGCTCAATTTACTCCCACTCTCATACAATTCAATTCCATTCTAGCATGATTTCATTTTCGTATACCAAACATGCCGGAATTCCAAATTAGTCGAGGAACTCTTATTCCTGCCTCTAAGTCTAGGAAACAGTTTCCAAGAATGAATATCATAAATCCGATGAAATAAAAAAATTAATTATTTGATATAATATTGTGGAGGAAATACTTCACTTTACTCAAAAAGTTATCCATCACTCTTCTCATTATTAAAAATTCCCGACTTGATGAGCAGATTTTCAAGAATAATTTAACAGAAGATGGAAGTCATAAAAAATGGAAGCATAAGCTTCACCTATTTTCATTTGAATTTTTTTTGCAACATCCAAATTACGCATAATTGTTCGTAATTTTACTCGGAAAGAATTAGACAATACTATTATTTGATGTCACTCACGAGCAAAATGCAAAATTATCTTCAGATATTATACAGGGATATTTTTGCAAACTAAAATTTCTTTGCAATCCATTTTACTATTTTGATACTTGAAAAGGAAAAAGAAACAATTTTTAATCACATTAGAACTTCAGAAATTCAAAATTACAAGAAAACACGTGTGCATTGTCGGTTCTGTCCTTAACGGATAGAGCATCTTCACTTCATCTCCAATGTCTTCCTTCATCTTGCATCCTTAAACACATTCCTGCATCATTCATACTCAAGAACATCTTCAACTCTCTCTCTCTCTCTCTCTACCCAGAAGAGAAAGTTATGGTCATTTTCTCAGTCTCACTAGCAGCTCCCACGCCAACCCTCCAAGGTACCTCTCTCTCTCTCTCTCTCTCTCTCTCTCTCTCTCTCTCTCTCTCTCTCTCACGCGATTAGCTTCCAGCTTTTCTTGCTTAAAGGGTCAATTTTTTTGACTGGGTAGTGCTACTTCCTGATGTTACATCGCTTTTCCGTGGTCTACTTTCCCCCTCTAGTTTTGCTTGCTTCGTGTATGTTGATCGTGGAGTCAAATCCGGTAGTGTACGTGGGACACGTTTTGTTGAAGAATGTGGGTGTGACTGTAAATGATTACTGGAAGCTCTTTTCTTTTCCCCTGCCCAATGATTTTCATGGAGCTTTGATTGGGTATCACTTGACTGAGTGTCTGAAAGGGAGGAGAAAGAAAAGAGGTAAAAATGAGGGTTCATGGTGGACCATGGGCCTGACCGGTTGGGTTCTGGGGTCTGCCGGTTCGGTTTGTGGTTCCGGTGATCCTTGATGACGGGACGGCCTCGGATTCTAGCGCCTGAAGCTGGTGGCAGACCATGACATGCTGCTCACTCTAGATTTTATTTGATAGTCAACAAATATTTAAACCGTTGTTTCTGTTGAATTGTTCCAATGGTGTGTACATCTTGCAGACAGGACTTTTTCGACGTCTGCCGTGTTAACTTCATCGCGTGAAAAGCGGGAAAGACAGAGGTTATTGTACAAACAAATGGATGAGGGGTAATAACTTCTACTCACATTGCAATTCATTATTATACAATATTTGGTGTTATAATCTGAATGACAAGGTTCTTATAGCTTCTGTTGACAAAAGATTGCAGGATGCGAATGTTTTGTGGCATGAGGAGAGGATGAAACGGAGGTTTCTGCTGTTCCTTTCGGTTTCTTCAGTCTTCTTTCCAAGTTCATCTTCCACTGGAAAGACAAAGAGTAAAAACCCGTATGATGAGAGACGCTTGTTTGAACTCAATAAGCGGATACAGAAGGAAAATAATGCACCTGAAGACTTTCCAAGTTTCATCAGAGAAGGTTGATATCACAGCATAATAATCGAGATTTTACTTTACATGGTTTTCTGCACCTACATTTCTTTTTGCCGACAATTAATTTACCTGATCAATGTGACTTATTTGGTTGATTTCACACTTTTCTCCCCCACCTAGCCAAGAGAGTCTCCGAACTTATGTGATGCTTTGATTTGTATTCAGGTTTCGAAGTAAAGGTGGTAACTTCAGATAATTACATTAAGAGGGACTCAGGACTTATATACCGGGATTTTGAAGTTGGTACGGGTGACTGTCCAAAGGCTGGTCAGCAGGTTTTCCTTTCATTTTTGTAGCTTTATTTCTTGAACTTGCAACGCTGCAAAGTTTCCTTTGCATCGAGTTCTATAGGAAAAGATCAAAAGAAAACTAAGACAAAAGATTTTAGAAAAAGAGTCTCGAAAGATGAGCATTGTTTTAGTAGTTTTGTTCTGTACTAACTATAGGTGGTAGGGTGTCTTAAGTTTTCCACAATATTATCTTTCTACTTGGTTCTTTTATTATTGCCTTAATTTTTCTAACTTGATGAATACTGTTTACATATTGAGAAAAACTGAGGCTGCCATCTAACATCATGTAAAAATTAAATGGGGATTGTTATGCATATACAACAATAGCTGATTTGTGAAATCGCGATTCTGGATGCTTCCATCTGTTCTTTTACTTATCACCATTGGCCACCTTTATTAATCAACACAGAATTCTTGTTCGTCCAATACTGTTATCATTGGCATTATGTTATAGTAGACAGCTGGAAAAACTGATTCCCAAGCCTGGTGAAAAATTCACAAATCAACTTTTGCGACTCTGGAAGCTAGGTCAAAATGCTGAGGATCAATGTTAGAGCTATTATGCTTAATGCTTCATTTTAACATCTGATAAAAACAGGGAAATGAGAACCATGATAATGAATTTTCGTGTTAAAACTATTGGTCTGTGATACTATGCTACTGCCTTGTTTCTTATAAACTGACCCCCTGCCTGTTAAAGCAATTCACAAAAAACTTTTGGGATTCCAGAAAGTTAGGCTGAAATACTAAGGTTGAGATGGTTGGTACTTTTATGCTTGATGTTTCATTTAAAACTCCATGAATAACAGGGAAATGAGAAGCATGACAATGAATCTACATGTCTCTGCTTCTTATGATGACTGCAATCCTTGTCAATGGTCTTATGCAGGTAACTTTTCACTATGTTGGCTACAATGAGTCGGGAAGACGTATTGATAGCACCTACTTACAAGGTTCCCCTGCTAAAATCCGTATGGGCACCAATGGCTTAGTTCCAGGTCTGCAATAATTGATTAGAGATGTTAATCAGCATAATTACTTATATATACCTTTTCTTTAGATATTATTTGTTTGAGTAAATAAAAAGAATCAAGAAGCACAACACATATTTCTAGATCCAGTCAAATGTTAGGAGTACATGATGGACTGCAGACTATTTGAAGACGGCTCGTTGCTTGGAAACAAATGTCCTAGGCATTATCCACACAAATAAACGAGAACAAATGAAAGCTTCGAATTATTAATTTCGAGAAATTGGGTGCAGGATTTGAGGAGGGAATACAAGATATGAGACCCGGGGGAAAGAGGAGAATCATTATTCCTCCAGAACTTGGACCACCGGTAAGAATCTTAATGTTTTATTTTTCCAGTTCTGCTCGTGGTATCTGGTTGCTCTGTCTCTGTTGTCTTTATTTGACTTCCTTGGTTAGCTATACATATACCTTCGGTTTTCCTCTTTCTTAACAATAAAATTTTTAGGTTACTCTTGAAAAATTTAACATACCTACTTTCATGCGACCCAAGAATGTCTTTGATCATATAGGAAAACCCAAGATGCTAAAGTACAGAAAACATAATTCACCATGTCACATGTGACGCATCAGTCCTTTGTTTTTTAGTTCTGCATAAAGTATGTCCGTGCCTTTAAGGCCCATCACTGTGTCATCTAAAGCTACCATTTGGGCATAATGCAGAATCTTGATAAGCTGGCTGGTGCTTTCGTAAATTGAATTTCTGTTTCCACAGTTTGAATGCTGTGTTGGAAGACGGTTTCTTGCTGGAAACGAAGAAGATGAAAAATCCTAACCTTTTTGCTAATTGGTGAAAGTTAGTGGAGGTGGTCACAATCCATCATTTACATTAACCAGGTGTACACTCTAGTCAAGCTTCAAAATTTGACCTTATACTAATACCTGAAACTAACACTGGTCCCAAGATGCTTCATAGCATTTGCTTGGCTGATTATGTCAGCAACTTCATTGGTTGCAAATACAGCCTCCACACATATATAATTCAAGATCCTAACCAAGAACTTCCAACCTCTGGTTTCTTCAAAGAAGCATAAAGCCAGTAAATAGACACCCATCTGACCTCACTGGATCCCAGTTCTTGGATTTAAATTTTGAGTACCTTCTCTAAATACTTTCCATACTGAACGTGGTCAGGTTTTTGTGATGATAGCTATCGTTCATTGTATGATGCATAAAGACATTGAGCATTGTTTGTTAGCTCTGCTTTGATCTTGCTATTGTTTTTTTTGGCCATCATTGAAAATGTGCAGCCACTGGCTTAAAAATCTTTGCAAGAGAGATGTTTGATTTTGCTGAAGGAAATTTATGGAGAAAAAATTGAGTACTCCAAGAGGAGAGAAAGCAATTGGCATCAACTTAATGCAAAGATGACCGTCTTTTCTGTAGGTGGGACCTTCCACGTTTTTTAGCTCAAAACAGTTTGAAGTTTTTGATGTTGAATTGCTGGGCGTCAAGGATTGCCAAAGGAGGACCATAGGTTTCTACTCCGACGTGGTGTGCACTTGAATGGAGGCTTGCGGTCTCTTTATTGAGTCTTCCTGCAGAACGGATCAGGAATTGAGCATGTTAGCCCATCTGATCCTTTGTCCACTCATCAAGAGTGCTAGCGGATGATCCTGCTCCCATGAACAAGAAGATCGTTGTAAGGGAAGTTCTATTTTGATTGAGGGATGATCTTATATGGAAAAATTGAGACTAAACTGAACACAACAGCTAACAGCTGTAATTGGCTGAAGCATAGTTATTGGAGAATATGTTAATCTTAAAATGGTGTCCTTTTCCCTCTCTCTGGACTGCAACGAACGAGCATATGGTGATGCTGAAAATATGGCCATTGACAAATCTTTGTCGAACTTTTGCTTTTCTATTTGACAGATTTTGTTTAGTTTTCATGTTAATGCATCCTATTTGTGCCGGTTTCACTGGATAGGAAATGTTGATGTTACTACACCAGTCGGGTGCCGTATGTTACTTACCTTGATTTGGCAACTGACAGTTTAGTTGCTGTGATGCTTTGACAGTGACCGAGTACACATTAAACTGTCAGAGCCAAAAACAAGAACAGTACTCATCTTGAGAATTGGAAACTCCGCTTTGAATCTATATGATCCTTGCACTGAAGTTAATTTTATTTGGACTTAAAGAGTTGCAAAGGAGAGTCGATGCATGATTTATTATCGACTCAGCTTCAAATATCAATATAATCCAACAAGAAGCATGAAAACGAGTGGTCTCTGCCGTTTAGACAGATTCTCATATTTTGAGGATGATCGCAGCACTATGTTTATCCTATTGGCGCTCGTAGAATAGATCCATTATTTTACATGTTGCGTAGAATGCCGGACATTCCATGATGAGATGTTTATGAATTAACAAACTTTTTTCGGCCAAATATGAATAGAAACAACTTGAAAACGAAGATCATGAAGTTGATTTGAGTAACCAGCCAATTCCAATTCCCTACATTTTACAGAATAAATTACAACAGGGAACAAGAATCTCGGGGCAACACCCTTGTATTGGATCAGCACTAACATCAGGCAAGAATGATGCAAGAAATCGATGAGTGCCGACAGAGGGTGAGCCCTTAGCCCCTATAATACAGCGTTATGCAATAGTAAACATCTGACCAATACCATGCGTTTCCTGATGGTATTATTGCTAAAACAGGCTGAATTCCTATGCTATAGATACATCAATGCCAGACATCTGACTGGTACAATGCCTATTTACAAGAGTATTGCCTGCATAATCACTATTGAACTTCTACAGGAACCCGGTGATAAACAATTGTCTCATCCGCATGTGGATCAGCATGATACTGCCCATAGAATGCATATACTCCAACTGTAATGATGCTGAGAATAATGAATCTTACCCATGCTTCATAGTGCAACTGCAAAAGAGAACCAGGACATTTACAAGCTTAAATAGATGTATCCGAACAATAACTCATCGTCTTCCCTACTAATAAGAGAACCGCTTCTCCATAAGATGCTTCATAAGCATACCTGAGCAAAGAGGAAGATGTTGAAGAAGATGCAAATGGCTGGGACAATTGGAACCCCAGGACAAGAGAAGCTCGCTGCCCGCGTATAAACCTGGGGAGAATCAATGTTATCTCAAGACAAATAAGAAGTATAATCTTAATTTTCATTGTTTTAAAAGAGAATTCAACAAAACTAAACATGATCCTAGTCAGTAATTTAAGCCAGCAGGACACTAGAGCCTGTCCTTAATCGGCAAATACAGCAGATAGAGCCATCAGAAGTAGCTAGCTGGGCCACTAGAGTGACAAGGACAGCTACTACTTCAAAATTGAAAGCTGAGAACCAATTAGTTTGGCTCCACTCTACCAAGCATACAACGGGTAAAACTGAGGAACTACTATTAAAAACCGTACTATGCATCCTATCAAAATTGCACCAAGAGATTTCATATAAAAACCTCACTTTGAACTTTCTTTTTCCTATAAAGAACGGAAAATGTAGGATAAAAAAACATTGGGGATGGTTTAAGTGATCTTGCCAACCCCACATTCCATCATCTCCACATGAAGAAAAGATCTATCAATTGTTGCTTTAGTAGGGAGAGACAGAGAGAGAGATGGGAAAAGAAGCTAAAGCTTCATGACGGTGACCAATAGATAAGCATAATGTAATGCATGGGAAAACTAACTCTAAAAATAAGCAATATAGACTGACAGATTGTGCAGCAACATATTTCTTTCCATATTCTCTATACTGTGATTGTCCAACGTACAGTTGAGAGAGAGAGAGGCTCACCTGCCGGTATTGAAGAGCGACAGAAGCAAGCAAAGCAACAATGACAGCAGCAAGTGAAAATACAAGTGGAGCGTCAACACGATAGCAAAGTCCAGCAACAAAACCACTGCAGGCAACTATGAAAAGGCTAAGAACACCTTCCTGCCAGCTTGAAATCCATCTTGAAGAATTTTCATTTGCTGACTTGTCATTCCATCGAAGGACAACAACACATGCTGAAACTACTGAATAACCAGTCTGGAAGAAAAGAAAGACAGGTGAGGGCATAGATGATGATGCTATGTCAACTAGTTTGTATGCACTGGCCAAAAAGATAAAACTAGTTTGTATACAGTTGCATTCATGAGAAAACCATAAGAATTAGAACAATAATTTGATGCACATGCAGCAGTCAAGACACCATCAAAATTAATCACCTAGAGGAGAATTCTTTGTCTGTCACATACAGGAACTACCAAAATACTCAGACATACTATTGTAATGATAAGGAATGAAAATGAAAAGGACATAGCTGGCCCTTACCAGAGAACCAACAGAAAGAATGTGAGAGAGGACGCGCACATTAAACAAGCCCGCCAATATGCTTGCAACCACTCCAACCCACACCTGAGCATGAATGGGAGTATGGCGAGTCGGGTGTACTTTAGCAAATACACCAGGTAGTAAGCCATGTCGGCCAAGAGCAAGATATAGTCGAGACTGCCCATAAAACAAATCACTGGTTATTGACAGACCATGCTATGTAATAAAAGGTCGATCTTTTCGTTGTTGAATGTAAAGCGACTCACCTGAACATAAAGACCAACTAAAAGAGTTGTAGTAAGACCAGCAACAGCACCAATGCTGATCAAGATGGATACATATTTCATACCCTTGGATGTAAAAGCCTCAGCCAACGGCGCTTCTTCACCGAGAAACTTGTAAGGTACCATTCCGGTGAGAACTAAGCAAACACCAATGTATAATAGAACGCATACAAGAAGGCTTCCCAAAATTCCTAACGGCAAATCTCGCTGGATCAGTCAATAGAAAAGAAGATAAGTCTTAAAATAATGAAAGAAGTAATAATCATAGAAGAATGCAGTGTAATTGAGTTTATAGTTGTGGTGAATGCCATGTAGTATACCTGAGGTTCTTTTGATTCTTCAGCAGAATTAGCTACTGCATCAAACCCGACATAAGCAAAGAATACTACAGTAGCTCCAGTCAAAATTGCTTTGGCACCATTGGGTGCAAAAGGCGACCAATTGGAAACATCGACCTCAAAAGCACCAGCAAAGATGACAAAAATAACAATAATGACCTGCAGAAAAACAGATAAGGTGTAAATAATCTGGAAGTACAAAAAGACATTTTCAAACAGTGAATAATGGATAAGTACCAAACTTCAGAAGTACTATTCCTGGAAATATCGACCTCAGAAGTAATTTTGTACAGGGACCAATGGCTTACATAGTTTTTCATACACGCTCAGTGACAAACCAAATTAGAGACAAAGATAATAATTCATAATATTTGTCTAGACAAATTCGTTCACATGCATGTTCTATCCGGCATTTAAAATTATTGTGTATACAGACAACTAGTTGGAGTTGCATTTGATTCTGACATGGTAACAATATATTCAAAAAATGTCTTTAAAGCATTCAAGAAGTCTTTAAGCTAATGCTGGGCATTGGGACCCATGGTAGTAGTAGTAATATACTACATATCTACTTACTAGAAAAAATAGTCTTAATACCAAGCAATCTATAAGTTCATATAAAATGAAAAAGATCTGTGCTGCACAATGAGGTTAGTGGCTCATTCAAGGATTCAAAAGATGCATCATGGCAATAGCTACATTACAATGCAAACAAATGTCCAAAGAAGAAATGCTTCAAGAATCAAGTTTGTCTCCTGAAAAAACCTTTTGTTTTGTCTGGGTTATCTGCTCCTTCAGTGGTCATGGGAAAGGTCATTTTATGAAGGAACAACATACAAGTTAAAAGTAACAAAGGCATATAGAGAGAAGAATTCGTCAACAACAGTTAATAACAAACTTAGCCTTATCCCACTAGGTGGGGTCAGCCTTTATGACCTCATCATTAAAAGTTATTTCCACAAATGATTTTATAAATCTAGTGGTAAATTTCCATTTCGTAATAGAAATTACAACAAACTGATCAGCTTTGGCCTGGGAAGTCAGATCAAATCAGGAACTCGGTCGTATCTATTTTCAGTAATAGCAAAGTTCTTGCCCAAAAAGGGAAGAGTTACTAAAGACTCATGCTTCCGCTTATGAAATATGAATCAATCAGGTTCCAATGTGCATAGACAAGGCGAGCCTCCATGGCACAAGAAACGAATCGTTTCCTGAGATAATAAGTACAAAGAACAAATAGCTATCACAAACTAGAATTGCTACCGATCCATTGAGGATAAGATAAGATAAATTCCAAAATGGTCTCAATGACGATTGTCATTATTGACTGTCACCTTCCTTGTATAGCAGCTCTACTATAATAATCAAATGTTAGGTTCTTCAATGACAACATAGGCCTCTCAAAACAAAATAGAATCTTATAGACACACGATCTAAAACAAAGCACTAAAAACAATAGATTAATTGAGTGTAAAAAGTTTCTACAAAGAAACTAAAAAAACATAGATTAGAATCGCAGGACCCTTAGGATAAAAGATAAAACAGGATATAAATAGGAACCTTCCATGAAGCCAGTATTAACATGATGTGATAAATTGTTTGTCCTCAAATTACGAACGATTGGAGATCTTTCCATTGAAGAAAAATGAATAATGCAGACATGGCCAACTCAGGCATGGTAGAGTGAAATTCTTTGCATGGAAAAGCAATACATTAGACAGAAAGATAACATTATAAGGACTGAAGAATGAAAGCAAATTGTACAGAAGCAAATGGAATACCACTAATTATGCAAATTTAGAAAATTCTTTTGCAGAGAGATGAAAAGGCTTTGTCATTATAAAATTAGTTGGTATCATATGCATTCTAACTGATTGAAATGCGAAAAAAGTCAAATGAGTCCAAATATCATAATTCTTATCTAGGCATCACTGCCAC